ACTGTTCAAAGCATATTTGAAGCATTAAAAACATATTCAAGAAGAAACATAATATGTTTTATTCTTAAAAAAAAACATTAGTCTTTACCAACCCTAGACTAACTTTCTAAAACATTCGAGATATTTTTAGTCTCAAGAGGCATAATGTATTTTTTTATTTGTTTGGTATATAATTTCTTTGTTCCTTACTCAACGATATTATTACAGCAATGATACTATTTGTATGCGCACGTGGCATTGTCGTCTCAGCACGGCCATATGCTGATACTTACACTTTTCATGCGATATCGCTGTGACCATAATTTGCCGACAACGACTTAAGAGAAGATGAATGCGAATATTTGCACGACTGTTTTTGAACGAGAAAGAGAAAATAGAAATATGATGTATCTTTGACAAAATATACTCAAACATTTTTAAACGATAAACATTTTATTTTGTAAAATTATAGTTCAAAATTTTACGATAAATATAAAACAGAGATGAAATTTGAATACTTTTAAAAATAGTTTTTACGAGATACATTTTCTTAATCATTATAATATAAGTATTAGAAAATCAATGTAAATTAGTAATTTTTGTATTTTGACGAAAGGTTTTCACGATAATGAAAAACTTCCAAGTGAAAATAAATTAAATTAAGATAAATGTGGCATATATACTTTGTTTATTCATTTTTATTCCGATAATTCTTGATCTACGAAGATCATAAATTTCCAGCACAAAGTTTGATTCCTGTTTGAAGGGTGAAATTTGATCGAGATTCATTATTTTAAACGAATTCACCTTCAGTTTTTAATTATCTCATACTACTTTAACTGCTGATAAAAAAATATTGCAATCATCAGATTGTTTATTTCTTATGCATCAAATACAAAAAAAATTATAGAGAGAGAGAGAGAGAGAGAGAGAGAGAGAGAGAGAGAGAGCTTAATTACATGTAACATACTCTCGTGTTTTATTTTCAGCTATGATATATTTACATTCTTATAAATATGTAAATTTATATCTCTCAACCAGGAGATCATCTATATAACTACAATTCTTTATCATTACAATTCTTCTTTTGCACTGCAACAACAATATAACAAGATATAACAATTAACACTTCTAATATTAAAAGTTAATTATGAAAGCGATCATCGCGTTTAAAAGGTTCAAAAGTTTATCAAATAACGATATAATCATCGACGACTAA